GTGGAAGCTGGTGGGAGCTTTGCCTGCTGTTTTTCCCTGCTTTTGAGGGGCTCACCCTTCGCTTCAAGTAAAATTTAGGGGGATCCAGCATGAGCTGGGAGCAAGGGAAAGGTGATATCCCAAAATATCCCTTATCCCAAGACGATTCCCAGACAGGGCCGGCCACCCCGCTCCAGTTTGGGATGTTACCGCCGCCATGGGGGGGGGGGGTGGGCAGGGGGAAATCGGTACGAATTCCTGCCGGGGAGGTTTTTCTGGCTCTGAGGTGATTTTGAAGCACAGGTGGAGCTTGTGCTTCCAAAAAAAATCCCTTGGAAACGCCCCGAAACCACCTCCCCCAGCGCGGCGGCCGCTTCCCCTCTCCACTAACACACGCGCCGCGCTCTCCGCTTAATGCCAAGATAAGTACCTTATGCTTTAATGCTTATGATATAATTTTAAGCTCTTAAAAAAAAAAAAATGTATTAAGATTTATTTAATGAACTGTAATAGCGTATTATTTTTCTTAATTCCGATACGCGCCGCGCCCTGGTTGAGATGAAAAAGGGTGTTTTGTCTTAAATCACCGCTGCCCTCGCGCCGTGTATTCCTTCCTGCTCGTGGGATGATGCAGAGGGGCCATGGAGGGGGTGTCAGAGGGACCAGCCCCCCCAGGCTCTCCTGGGGTGGCAGGGCAGGCTTTGCCCCGTGGCATCTTTTTTCTCTGCAGAGAAGCGTTTTTATACATTTTGTTCTTTTTTTGGGGGGGGTTTTTTTGTTCTGTTGGTTTTTTGTTCTGTTGGGTTTTTTGTTTGGTTGGTTTTTTTTTTGGTCCTCCTTGCGTTTTTATAATTTAAACCGCCAGAAGAGATGAGCAATCTCCTTGTTACCGAGTAGTTTCCTTTGCATTTCAGCTTTTTTGTAAATTAGGAAATAATTCTAAAAATTACTAAGAGGATGATTTATTTAAAAGAGAACTTCGCTAAATAGCATATGAATTATGGGTAACATTAGATTTAACTTTTCCCCCCATGGGCGGGGGAGAATCCTTGAAGGCATGGATGCAAATATAAAATTATAAAAGATCTAAATAAAGCTTATTTTAAAGTACAGATGAACTCCACGTGGTTTTGTTGCTTGGCAGATGGAGAGCCTGGGCTGGTGCTGGGGTTGGGGTGCAGGACACCCTGACTGCCACACGAATTTGGGGGGCTCCAGGGTGATGGGGGAATGCAGGAGAAGCTGGACCAGCTGCCAGGCAAGTGCTTGCACCTGGATGCAGTGATCCTGGCAGGAGGCTGGGACAGTCTGCACCCGTATAAAATGGGGATTTCAAGGGTTTGAGGTAAGTAAAGATTTGGGAATGTGGGTGAACAGCCAGGAGGTGTCCCCCTGATATACACAAGGACAAAGAAAAGGAGAAGGGATGGAGAAATAAGAAAATGTGCTCTAACTTTTATTAATGGATAAATTATTGATATTAATTTACAGATTGATAAATCATTATAATAATATATAACTATAGTTCTAATAGGAGCAACTATAAATAATAATTATTACTCCTATTATTATTTCAATTACATTGGTCACTTGTAGGGCTGTGCCAGCACTGCAGAGGGGCCTGACACCATTTTGGGGTCAATTGCTGTGTTTGCCAGAGGAAAGACAACTTGCAATGATTTTCTTGTTCTTTGAGCCTATAATGAGGGTACAGATGAAGAGATGTACCTTTTCTTTTTTTTTTTTTTCAACAGAAACAGCCTTCTGGGCTTGGGAGAAGCTGCAGAGGAGGTAAGAGCCACCATCGTCTGAAATGGAGAGAGCTGAAGCAAAGAAAAATATAGGAAAAACTCATGAGAAGCCAGCTGGCTCTCCAGCAGCTGGAATCCAGCATTAATGGGAATTAAATGTGGCATTAAAGGGTAACTGCTGAGCATGGCAGACATGAGCTGGGCACAGACAGGGGTGGGATTTGCTGCATTTGAAGGAATTCCCTGCAAATATTTGGTGTTTCCCTTCGTGGGTGGGATAGGGTGTGGGTGTGCATCCATCCCGTCCGTGGTTTTAAAAGCTCTGCCCTTTGGGAGCCAGGAATGTGGCAGAGCTGTGGTTGTCACACCAGTCCTGGGAAGGCTTCTGCTGTTCACCAGCTTTGTCCCAGTGCCGTGGGGACCATGCTGGACCCTGGGGAGGGGGACACGGGTGTCACCTCCTGCTCCAGAGCCATGGCAAGCAAAGGGACCTCATTCCCTGTATCTAGGAGTGCTGTCCTGGGCTGAGGGGGGGTCTCCTTGGTGGCTTTGTCCCTCCCAACCTGCATTTCCCTGGCAGTGGAGGCTGCAGGAGCCTGTCCCTGGCTGCTACATCCCCCCTCACTTCAGCCTCATCCCTGTTGCATCCCTGCTGCATCCCTGCTGCATCCCCCTCACTTTAGCCTCATCCCTGCTGCATCCCCCTCACATGTCAGCCTTACCTCTGCTGCATCCCCTGCTGCATCCCCCTCACTTTAACCTCATCCCTGCTGCATCCCCCTCACTTTTAGCCTCATCCCTGCTGCATCCCCCTCACTTTTAGCCTCATCCCTGCTGCATCCCCCTCACTTCAGCCTCATCCCTGCTGCATCCCTGCTGCATTCCTGCTGCATCCCCCTCACTTCAGCCTCGTCCCTGCTGCATCCCCGCTGTGCTGGGTGCTGCGCTGCTGCCACCGTGTGAGCAGTCCCCGAGTTTCTGCGCCCCGTGTCTGTTTGTTTAAGGTGGGACTCGCCGCGCTGGTGCACTTTGAACCGGGCGCGTTGTTGTGCAGACGCTCACAAGCGCCTTTTCCCCCGTGAGGACTTTAGACCGAGAAAGGTCTAAAATATCCCAGTGTTCTGCGAGGGCACGGGGTGTTGTGTTGGTGGGATGGCCGGGGTACTCCACAGAGGGGGCACCCTGGGACTCCAGCACCCCTTTGCTGGTGTGTAAACCAGCCGTGCTGGTCCTGACACGTGCTGGTCTCTGGTGATGTTACAACCTGAGCCGTGTTTACCTGCCGTGCCACAGCCGTGCACTGGTGGGTAATGTGTGGGTCAGGAGTGGGGTTGAGAGGTCAAACAGGGATGAGTCTGGGAGGTTTCCTGCCTTGGCACTGACTCACCCCATGGCTTTAGCAGGTGATCTCACCTCCCCGGGCTAGATTTTTGGTGATAAAGAGCTAAACTGGTATACACCAGATAGCTGAATAAATCATCAGGAGGTTGGTGGGGTTTGAGATGGGGCCAGTCACAGAGTGTGGGTGATGGTGGCATCTCCCCAAATGCTGGTGTCAAGGGCCATCACTGAGGCTGTTGGTTTATTGCTCAGGACTGCTGAAATTCAGGAATGTGCCTGTCACTAATTCACCCATTTTCAGTGTTTTCCCTGAAGGTGTCTTCTGCTGGTTCTGCTTCTTGTGTATGAAGCCAATGCTGGAAGTGCCTTTGAGTCCTTGCCTGCACAGCCCAGGGGATGCCCAAGAGCATCCCTTGATGCAGTTATCCTTTGAGATATCCTGCTCTGCCATTGTCCCTGCAGCTGTCCCCACAGCAGCCCCTGTCCTTGGCTTCCCACTGCCCTGACCTGACACCGCCACAAACTCCTGCAGCAGCACAGACCAAGTGGCTCTGCTCCATCCAGCCGGGACACCAGAGCTGTGATCAGGCCCCATATCCAGGTAGGAAGGTTTCCTTGGAGTTTTATCATTGCTGGTGAGTGATTTCCCAGCACTTCCCCATTCTTGGGCACAAGCCCTCGCTCACCATCTGCTCCTAATTCTGAAAAGCTACATTAAATATCTGCTCAGCTCTTTTTAATACCCACCTGCACGACACCACCGGAGCTCTTCTCTCCCAGCCCTGTTATCCTCTAACCCTGGATCTCCTATTCCCGAGTCCCTGACCAAGGCAGAGCTTCCCCGAAGGGATGCAGCAGCCCCCGGGTCGGCTCCAGGAGGAAGCAGCCGGTTACTGATTATTCTCTCTGTTAAACACGGCAGCTTTATTTACGCTGTTTTCCAGGTTGCAGACGTGCGTGTGCTTGAAATGCAGACGGTGACCTGGCGCGGTGGTTGGACTGGTTGTACTGGAACCGCCGAGCTCTGCGCCACGTCCCGGCAGCCGCGGGGGCCGCCGGCTCCGCTCCTGGCCGGGAGATGCCGGCGGGTCACACCCTCCCACCGGGAGCCTGCGGAAATGCCTCCCGAGTGGCTGGTTTTCCTCCTTTTTCCCACTTGCATGGCAGGTTCCCAGCCTGCAGCCCCGGCAGGGACTCTCTAAATTGGGGTGTAGAAACTCAGACATGATGAAGAGAGATACCAGTATGGACCAGTGTGTGTGTGGGCTGGGCTGGGAATTGGGATCTGAGGGAGCCCATCATGGAGTGGGCTGGGATGGACTCTTATCCTGGGGGCAAAGCTGGGGCTCTGCCATGTTCCATTATATATAACGTATTTATATATATATAGTATTTCTGGTGCTAATTAGCTGGTAATTCTCTCTCTAATCATAGAATCCCAGAATGGTTTCGGTTGGAAGGGACCTTAAATCTCATCCAGTTCCACTCCCTGCCATGGACAGGGACACCTTCCACTGTCCCAAGTTGCTCCGAGCCCCATCCAACCTGGCCTTGGACACTTCCAGGGATGGGGCAGCCACAGCTTCTCTGGGTAACCTGTGCCAGGGCCTCACCACCCTCTTCCTATTCCTTCCTATGTAATCTAGATCTAAATAGATATTCTAATCCTAATCTAGATAGACATCCTTCCTCAACACCCTCTTCCAATTTCTTCCTATCTAATCTAGATCTATCCCTTGTCCTATCACTCTGTGACCTTGTAATATAATAATATCATAAAATATATACGTGCAGTCTGGTGGCTCTGCTGACCTGACTCCCAGGGATGGGCTTTCCCTCTGTCAGGACAAGCCATCCGGCTGCAGGTATCCAGGAGCAGCGTGTCCCCCAGAGCAGTGCTTTTGGCTCACTGTTGGAAAGGTTTGGAGGAATCCTGGGGTATGGCCGGGCTTTCAGTGGTGACTTTATAATACATGCTGAGCACTTCTGAGCAGGAAAAAGCAAGGAAAACTGCCAGTGAGCCATTTCTGCCTCCAAGGCAGGGTAATGTGAGCCCCTGGCACCTCTGCACGTACCAGGGCATCAGATGCCCTTCTGAAAGGCCCTTTTGTTACCTGCTGGTGGGTCCAGTGGGGCTTCAGTTACCCCCTTGGCATTCCTGTGCTCTGTATCCTGCATATCTGGCTGGATAAACACCCTGGAGAGGTCCCAGCCTGCCCTGGACTGGGCAAGGAGTGTTTGCAAGGGGAGGAGTTGAGCTGCCATAGATAAATCCCCACACTGGGATGGCTGCTGGAGCTGGAAAGGCGAGACCAAGAGATGGATGTGAAGTGTGTGGAGGGAAGGGCAGGTGCCTTAGCAGCCATCCAAGGGGGCTGAGCAAGCCCCTCCCACCTTGATCCTGCTCCACTGCCACTGAAAAGCCCATTTCTGGCCAAAATTCAGCTTTGTGGAGTGGGAACCTGAGGAGCCAAGTTATGAATGTCCCCTCTGTGCTCACAGTCTCCAGGGCCTCTCTGCAGGGGGGTGACCTGGCTCAGAGCTCTCCCTGTGCTGGATCAGGGGCAGTCAGTGTGTGAAGTCCGTGTTCCCCCTGCTTTCTTATAGAGAAAATAATTCCCTGATATGTCTCCTGACTGACAGAGCTGCTTGGGATGACGGGTCCGTGTTTGACACAGGAAGGTGGGGCAGGAGAGGAGGAAATTTGCCTGAAGTGGGGTGAATTTGCCTGAGCCGGTGGCCAAGCGGGAAAATGCAAAACAATCCGTACGAGTTAAAAAAAAATAAATATGCAGCTACGCTTAATAACTATTTCTTTTTATAGAACAACTCTGGGAATTGCTCTTTGATTAGAGGAGGAAGGTATCGCTGCCGTGCGCCAGGGCAGGTGAGTCAGTGGAAAATACCGTCGGCTTCACGAGGGGCTGTGCTGGGAGGGAGGGATGCAGGGAAGCAGGGGGGGTTTCCCAAGAGTCCTGAACACCGGTGGCCCCGAGGCAGGGCTGTGCCACGCTGAGTCACGCCAGGAGATGTGACAAGTTTCTGTTGGGTTCGTGATGGCTTTTGCCTTTGCAAGGACTTGCAGGGCTTAAGGGACAGGAAAAACTGCAGAGTCATCTCTGACAGAATTTGAGTCCTTGGTGGTGTTTATTATGATGGCTGGGTGTGAGAAGGGCCTGGAAAAATGCATCACAGTTGTTGTTGGGATGGCATCCGGGGAGAGGTGACACTGGACACGGCATTAGTTGCAACAGGTTTTGCCAAAGCTCAGGTCTGGTCCCTGCAGTTCAGTCTGGAAACCATGGGACTGTCTGGCTATGAGGACAAGGCACATGGCCAGTAGCCATGGTGAGGGCCATGCCAGGAATGGCTCTTCCTGGCAAGCAGGTGGTTAACTGCGAGTGTTTGTAGAGGGCAGCAGACTGATAAAAAGCACTTTCCAGGCTCCCTAGGAGCACAGGCTTTGTGAGGATGTCAGCTTTGCCTTGGTGAATGGAGTGATGAGCCTGAGCAGTTGGGTTCCTCAAAACAGGACTTCTGCACACAGAATTGGGAACTGATAGAGGAAAGGCTCCACACAAGCTGGTTTCATAATGCAGATGCCTCACAAGCTGGGTTTTAAACTACAGATTGAAAACTAAAACTTCAGTTAGATGTTGGAAAGAAATCCTTCCCTGTGAGGGTGGTAAAGCCCTGACACAGGTTGCCCAGAGAAGCTGTGGCTGCCCCATCTCTGGAAGTGTCCAAGGCCGGGTTGGACAGGGTTTGGGGCAACCTGGGCTAGTGGGAGGTGTCCCTGTCCAAGGCAGGGGGTGACACTGGATGGGCTTTAAGGTTCCTTTCCAACCAAACCATTTTGGGGGTCTATTAAACTAGAGATGGGGGCTGTGATGTTTAGAGCAGGGGCTGCACGGTGCTGCGAGGAGGTGACCCGATCGGCATCCCCAGCTGGGACAGCCACCCGGTTTGGGGGGGATGTCTCCCCGATGGTTTGGAGGGGTCTCCCCGATGGTTTGGAGGGGTCTCCCCGATGGTTTGGAGGGGGGTGTCTCCCCGATGGTTTGGAAGGGTCTCCCCAATGGTTTGCGGGTCTCTGCGCTGGTTTGAGAGGGTCTCCTCGCTGCTGCCCCCTCCGCTGTCCCGGTTTCCCGGAACAGAGCCCGGGGAGCGGCGGGGCCGGTCCCGGGAAGCGCCGCCCCGGGAGGGCCGGGCCGGGAGGGCGGAGCGGCCCCGCACGGACCCTCCGCAGCCGCCGCCGCCGGGGAGGTACGTGGGGCTGGGGGGAGCCGGGAACCGACGGGACCCCCCTGGGCCGAGCAGGGCCGGGACCGCCGGGCTGGGACCCACGGGAGCGCTGGGAGCCGGGAACGGGGCGGGCTGGGCTCGGCCCCGCCGGGAACGGGGACCGGGAGAGGGACCGGGCGGGTGTCGGAGTCGCGGGCTGGGCTGGGGTAACCTCCGAAGTGCGGGGAACACCGGCAGAGAGGGGGAAACACGCCACAAAGCAGGAGCAAACCCCCCCCCCGAAAGCGGGGGAAATCAGCCCCGAAGCGGGGGCTGGGCACTGGAGGGGTCGGAGCGCCGGGGTTTGGGGAGCAGCGGTGCCTTGGGGTCACCCCTTGGGGACACGTGGGCTTGGGGCACCTTCCTCGGCCCTTGTGAGCATCGGGGTGGCCGCGCCGAGCGTGGGGGGAGGAGTGGCTGCCGTTTTGGGACGGATCAGCTGGCACTTCAGGGAAGGATCGGTTTGGGAAGGATCAGCAGCAGGGACGGTGCCAGGTGACCCCCACGCCAAACCCGCCGGTGCCCCGCAGCCGGGTCCCATGGGTGGCAGCTCAGCAGGAGTGTCACGGATCACGAGCCCACGGCTCGGGTACGTCCGTCCCCGGGAAGGTGCAGGGACCGTGGGTGAGCCAGGAAAGCAAACAAAGCCAAGGAGAAGGAGACCTGCGCAGGGCAGGTCGGGGCTGGGCGCCGGTCAGTGGGGGCTCTGCTCTTCCTGTCATGACATTCCTGCTGAAGAAAGAGCGGCCTGGAGGCTTTGAGGGTTCAGCAGACCCACAGGTGTCTCACAAGTGGTTGTCTGCTGACGCTGGTATTTGATTTTTGGAGGTGACGGGGTGGGGGCGAGCGTTGCTGTCTAGCTGGGTTTGTTGGGAAATGTGGATGTGGGAGCAGAAACCAGCAGTTCCAGGAGTGTGTCCCATGGGAGACGGGCTGCCCTCGCCTCTGCATAGAGGGTGAAGCTGCACCAAGAGGTGTGGTCCTGGCTTTCCAGCTTAGAGCTCTCTGGAGCAGACCTTGGCCACTGCCTGATGGGATGTGGCCACAACACATCCCTCTACAGCACATCCGAGCATCCTGCAGCCGTCCACAGCCCTGGGTATCTTGGCATGACAGCCAGAAAGGGAAACCTCCCAGGTGTCAGTGAGGAGCATGTGGGTGTGGGGCTGGTGAACCCAGCCCTGGACTGAGGTGACTCGGAAGTATGTGACATGCCTTTGATTTTAGCTGTGTAATTACACGGGTGGGAAAACCCTTAGGAAGGCAAGTGCCTGGGGAAGGAGGAATGTTTGGCCACGGGTGCCCCGAAGAGAGCTGAGTGTCGGTGTTCGGCGCCGTGGCGGTGCCATGAGGAGATGCCAGGGGGCCAGGGCTGGGCAGGGCTGTCTGCCTGCACTCCAGCAGGAGTCTGGGAGGAGGGATCCCTCCGGCAGCCCAGGTGTGTGTCTGTCTCCCAGTGCTGCTCCACACTTTTCCTGTTCCCTGTGTATTTAAGAGGCAGAAACTGGTGTCGAGGCTCCACGGAAGCAACTGAATATCCTTGTATGAGCAGTGCAGGTGGCATGTAGTGACACAATTCCCAGAAAACCTCCATCCCTATCAAAATACCTGTGCCCACGTTGCGGAACACTCCTGCTTTGTGCCTGGCTGCTCTGTGTCCCTTGGCTGCCCGGCCAGCTCCGTGTGCCCTGGCATCACCTCTCACTCCCTTCCTGCCTCGTGGGCTCCTTAGCCATCCACAGTAGGTTTTCTTTGTGGGTCACACTTGTTGGAGAACCTTTTGAAAAAGCATGGGGAGAGGTGATGCTGCGTTGGGGTAAAAGGTGTTGCTGAAAATCCAGTGTGAGGATGAGGAGGGCGGTGCTGGTGAGGCCGATGGCAGTGTGATGTGTCAGGTTAGTGGCTTTCAGCAAGGGGAGATAAGGCTCCAGGGGCTGCTGTGGTGTCACAGGAGCTGCTTAGAGCACTCCAGGAGGGCTATGAGGAAGTGGGAATGCTGGGTTTGGCTTCGGAGGGCATCAAAAGGGCAGGTGGATAATGTCTCTGAGTGCTGGAAGGCTCTGGAGGAGAGTGTGTTATCTGGGTGTTCTCTGGCATGGAGATGGGGAGAGGTCCTAGAACAAAAAACAGGGGGGAGGCTGTGGAGGAGTGGCTTTATCTCAGAGGAAACAGCAGATTAGGAGAATTTAAAAAAGAAATAAATCCAAGCTCAGAAGTGCACAGTGGCGCCCAAAGGAAAGCGGGAAGGAGAAAGAGTCAAAGTGCTGGGATTTTCCCAGGCAGGCGTGCTTTCCCAGGCCTAGGCACACAGGGAATTCAGCTCCCCGGAGAGAGGTGAGCACCTCAAACCTCCATCCCTGGTTTAGCAGAGCCGGGCCTGGAAGCCTTAGGCTGGCACTTGGTCCCGGTGTGAGCCTGGCTCGGGAAAAGCCAGGGGACACTGTTCACACCATGGCTGGGACACAGTGAGGGCTCGCTGACCTGCTGTGAGTGGTGCCAGCACGGCCTCGGTGCCCGCAGCAGCACATTGTCCCCAGGAATAAATGGCAACGTCCTGAAACACAAACGTAAAAGGACTCTCTGTCCCTGTCCATTACCGCTTTCCAGCAGGCGCCGCTCGGATGGATATAATGGAATTATGGGGAGAAAAGAGTCTGGGAGGCAGTTTCTTATATCTCAGTGGCAAAGGTCAAGGCAATGGCTGCTGCAGAGTCATGATTACAGCTCAGGAGTAGGGCTACTGTGGCTTGTGTGAGCCCTGCCACTTCAGAAACCCTTGGCAATTCCCGGAGTTCCGAAGGATGCAGCACAGGGAGGTGCATATGGCTTGGGAATGGTGTCGTGGACATGGGGTGTTTTGTGTGCCCTGTCACTGTGGAGGCCACGGCCAGCCGGGTGGATTGCAGCATCCTGAGCCCGGGAATGGGCTTTCCCGTGACGCCCTTGTTTTGCAGGAAGTGGCAGAGTCAGGGCCCCCCTCCCGGCTCCCTCTGGAGTGGGAGAGGGGGAGAGCCTTGGGCAGGGTTTGAGGAAAGCACCCGCTGCTCTCCCAGCGCTGACCGCGAGGTGCAGCCGAGGAGGGGTTGTTAAAAATGAAACGTAAGGAAAAAAGAGGGTTAAATAGCTCTTAAATGTCTGCAGGGAATGTCGGGAGTGATGGATGTGGATGCATTCTTTTGTGCTCTAAGCAGGAAGTGTAAGCAAAATGTGGAGAAGCCCTGATGGTCTGCACGGGGCTGCCCCTCTAGGTTTCTATTCCCTGATGGGATGCCCTAAAATGGGCTGGAATTTATCCAAAAGATCAGAAATTGGCTAAATCAGCAATGATGCTGCTTTTCCTGGCTCTACTGGATTTCTCTGGGTATTCCTCACATTCCTTGGGCTGCATCGGGCAAGAAACATCCCTTTTCCTGGGACAGGTGTAACAGGGGCATCAAGAAGGGCCAAACAAAAAAAGAGAAACTGTGGCAGGGGCTTGGAACAAGATGCTCTTTAAGGTTCCTTCCAACCCAAACTGTTCTGGGATCCTGTGAAAATATCATCCATGTCCTGAGTGTCGTTTTTCCAACCCCACATGGACTTTTGTGCTCCTGGTGGGTTGGGCCCTTGTGTAATGAGGGCCACTGCAGGAACGAGCTCCTGAGGATGTGTCAAGGTCAGCAATTAGCAGGGAAGGGGGTTAATGAGCAGGTTGTCTGGGTGGAAGCATGAGGAAGAAGGTAGAGCCTTGTAATCTAACAGAGAGGAGACTCTGGGATCCTTGGATAGTTAGAGAATGGGTTTATTTATTTTTTTTTTAATTTCCAAACAATTAGTTTTGGTTTTTATGAGCAGTGCTGGGGTTGCACCCTGGTTTTGACAGGCAGCTCTGAGGGGATGTGTTGCTCCATGGAGGTGTGTTGGGAGCCATGTGTTGCTCCGATGACTCCTCGTGAGCGAAGGAAGCCCTGGAGCTCATCCCATGTCACTCTGTCGGGGTTTGACCTGTTCTCTGAACTGCAGACTCATCTCTTGTGATCCCGTGACAAAGGGGTTGCTGCTGGAGCGTGAGCAGGAAGGTGATGTCATGGGAGGGGAAAAATCCAAAGGTTGTGGAGGGCAGAGGAGTGTGGGTGCTGCCGTGGGCAGCGGAGGGTGTCGGGCTTCCTTGTCAGTCAGCCAGTGGGGCTGGCATTTCTCTGGGAGCACTGGGATATGGGGCATGATCTAGGGCTGACCCCGTTGGGTGGGTCTGTCTCCCATGGAAGGGAAGGTGCTCCCTGCTGCCGCTCCACCTGGGTGCCTGTGCCAAAGCCTTCCGGGCACATCCAGGCGTGGTGGCATGTGGTGCTGAGAACAGGCTTATCCCGAGCCCTCCCATGCCCAATTAACACTTGGAAACGTCCCAAGAAAAGTCAGGAAGCATCCCTGGGCTCTGGCAGCCTGCAGGATTTGGGGAGAGGTGCGGGAAGCCCAGAGGAGCTGTGGATGCCCCGCTGGCTTTGAAAGTACCCCGGTGGAGTTTAATGATTTGGAGATCCTGGTGTAAATCATTGCCAGGGCAGGGCACAGGAGTGTGGGGGACGAGATGGAGGGGGTCTGGCTGCAGGGAGGATCCCATGCTGTGGGCAGAGGGAAGGGGAAGGGGGCTGGAGCATTCAGGTACTGCTTGCCCACCTGCTGGGGACAAACTTTTTAGCAGGGCCTGTTGTGAAAGGACAAGGGGAGATGGTTTTAAAGTAAAAGAGGGTTGATTTAGATTGGATATTACGAAGAAATTCTTCCCTGTGAGGGTGGGGAGGCCCTGGCACAGGTTGACCAGAGAAGCTGTGGCTGCCCCATCCCTGGAAGTGTCCAAGGCCAGGCTGGATGGGGCTTGGAGCAACCTGGGCTAGTGGAAGGTGTCCCTGGCCATGGCAGGGGGTGGAACTGGATGAGCTTTAAAGTTCCTTCCCACCCAAAACATTCTGTGACTGAGGGATGAGCATCCAGACAGCTCTGGGGATGCTGGACCCGAGATAGAGGCAGCAGTAGCTCCCTTCTCCAGCTGTGATGTCAGGGCAGCAGGATAGCTGTTGGATCAGAGATAGAAGCAGCTCTGGAAAGCCAGGAGAGCAGCTAATTCAATGGAGATACAGACTGGAATAGCAAGTCTTCTGTTTTAATCTGATTGCTGGGCTGCAGGGTAGCACTGTGAGGCATCTGTGGAAAACTTCCAGGCACAGAGGTGACGTAGGAGCTGAAATCCTGCCACTTCCAGGACTGAGGTGCCTGAGGGAAGCCGCAGAGATTGTGAACAGGCACAGAGGTTTAGACACCATGGGTCAATGCGAGCAGCCCTGTGTGTGTTCTCTGCCCACCGTGGGTGCAGCACAATTTTCCTGCCCCAAGGCCATCACAGCAGTTCTCAAGTGAACTCCTGGCTGGCCAATGTGTTTGTGATGAGGATGGGTGTGTTCATGATGAGGATGGGAGCTCGTTTGGATCAACAGGTAAGGAGAAAACCCCACAGGGCACAAATGGAGAATGAAACCTTTGTGTGGGAGGGCAGAAGCCAGTGCTGGGACCACCAGTCACAGTGTAAGGGCTTGGGTGGGAGGATGGCTCTTGGAATGCTGGTGAGGACATTTCAGATGCAGAGTTTTCCACATCTTCAGCAGCTGTTCACTAGGGTGGAATTAAAGCTGGGATCAGGGGATGCTCTCCCTGAGGAGCACACAGGGCAGCAGCCTGGGGCTGGGCACAGTGCTGAGCTGTGCCATGGGGAACAACGGGCTTGCCCCATCCTGCCTCCCAGCAACTCCCTTTGGGCAGAGCTCAGCAGCTCGTGTGTGTCCCATAACCCAGGACAAACCACAGGAGCCAAGACTCTGCCCTGCCTGGACCCACACGGGTCTGGGGATGTGTCCAAAGGGGCTGGGACACCCCTCTGGGAGTATCCCCAGCCATGCTGGGCACAAGCAGTGAGCAGGGAAGTTTCTCTCCAGATTCCTCCTCTCTGGGCTTGTGTGTGTGTCTTTTCCTGCTGGAGCTGCTCTGTTTTCTGGGAGTGCTGCTCCATTCTGGCCCTTGACCCTGCAAACTGGGCGTGCACTCAAGCTAAACAAGCAAACATGCAGCTTTTGAGCCAGAAGCTTGAGCTGGAGGGTGTGTGTTGAGTGTGGATACAGCACCTACACCAGCACAGCCCAGGGCGACCTCGAGCCCAAACCAGCGTCCAGAAGCCAGGGAGGGAAGGAGGGATCCCTGGCATGGTCTTGGCACATCCATAAAGCTGCGAGGCTTTATGTGGATGTTCTGCTGTGAGGATCCAAGTTGTCACCCGTGGGTCACAGCACCCGAGGTCAGGGAAGTGAGCGGGCAGGAGATGTGGCTCCATGGGTTTATATTTAGAAAACGAGCACGTCTGGTCCTGGCAACTCAGAAAACATCCAGTGGAGGCAGTGGAGGGGGAGTTCCCACCCGTGGCTGGCTGGTTGGGAATGCCAGTGCTTGGACATTCCCATGGGATGCAGCCAGGGCACTCACCACCCGTGTGTGTGTGTTGCTGCAGGGAGGGTGAGCACCAGCCTGAAGTGAGCTCAGGGCCCTACAAGGGTTCACCATCCCGGCAGCAGTTGCTGGCAGCAGCTGGGGGAAGCCACAGGGTCGGGTTGGCTGGGAAAGAGGCAGTTCTGGTTTCTGTTCTCCAGGCAGGAAGGCATCACAGGGCAGGCAGCCAGCGCCGTGAGCAGCCCTGCTCCGTCCCAGTTGTAGGGAAAGGGAGAAGCTGTTCAGCTGGAGGTGCATTTCTGAGCATTTCCAGGTTGGTTTGCACTGACAAGGGCTGTTGAAGTTGATTTGGGTGGCCTTTTTTGGTGCTGTGAAGACGTCAGTTATCACACTCCTAAGGACGGGCAATCTAAGCCCTTAGCAAGCATCAGTAATTTGATTGTTTCCAAAGGTTGGTGATTATCACAGCTGAGGAAGTAGCAAAGGGCGGGGATGGGAATGGCCAGCAAGGATCCAGCTGCCTTGTTATATCCCAACCTGCTCTCCACAGGCACGGCAGGGTGAGATTTCCAGTGTTACATAAATGAAACAATATCATCGTGGCTACTATGGCTGCACAGACTTTACATTTTGCCATGGACTAAGCATCACATTCCTTCTCTTCCCAGAGCTCACATCCTGCCCGGGGAGGGCATGTTAGCAGGGCTGCAGCCCCCCTGCCCCGAGCCATGCTGTGAGGAGGGGACAGCCCGGCCATCCAGCAGCGGGAATGATGGCCCAGTCCCGGGCCAACGGCTCACACTACGCCCTGACAGCCATCGGGCTGGGGATGCTCGTCCTCGGCATCATCATGGCTGTCTGGAACCTCGTCCCGGGCTTCGGGCCCCCCGAAAAACCCGCCACCCCCGCTGGGAACAGCAGCAAACCCGACCGTGGCTCCGGGGGCATCCTGAAGAGCAAGACCTTCTCGGTGGCCTACGTGTTGGTGGGAGCAGGGCTGCTCCTGCTCCTGCTCTCCCTCTGCCTCAGCGTCCGGGACAAGAAGAGGCAGAGCGAGGAAATCGCCATCGCCCACGTGCAGCGCCACGTGTCTGTGGAGCCCTCGCAGCAGGAGGACAGGTGAGGTGTTCTGGGGAGAAAGGGAGCGGGAGCAGGGGTAGGAATGACACCAGGGGCTGTTGTTGCAGCTCAGTGAGGTCTGGATCAAGGAGAGGAAGGCTGGTGGCAGCGTGTGCTGAAATAAGCGAGCACGTGCTGTGGTTTGGGGTTCTGATGTGTCCTGGAGCTGGGAAAGGAATGACTCCAGCTGTATTTATGGAGCTGTGTAGGTGGAAGGGAGCCTTGTTGGTGTATAAAATGGGGTCTAGACAGAGCTGTGGCCAAGCCAGTGTTGCTGAGATGTGCCACTTGTGGCTGGGTTGGCACATGGGAGTGTGCTGAGAGGGAACACGGGGGTGGGTGATGGGTGACACAGAGAGCAGGCTCCTGCCACACGCTGGGAGAGGAGCCAGAGGTGCAGCAGGGGGGCTGTCTCACTGGGTGCAGCTGACGTGCCCAGCAGCCTTGGAGGCTGGCCATGGAGTTTAGACCTGGTGAAAGTCTGCAGGGCTCTGCTGTTTGCTCAGGGATCTGCATGGAGCAGAGCAAAGGCTGCTGCTGCTGTAGGGACAGGCTGGACAAACACTGGTGCAGTTCCCTGTGCAGAGGGAGGCAGGGAGGTGTTGGGACAATGTGGGATACAAGGGGGCAGGAGAGGATGATGGCTCTGCTGGCTGTTGTCAGGGTCTGCAGATCCACCCAGAAAACCAGTTTTCCCTATTAGATTGAAAAGATAACTTCATAATGCCAAAGAAATGGCAAATGATGATGTGCAAACCTGTGCATAGACAGTGACATAGTGCAGGGCTAAATCTCTTTGCAGAATCTCTTTATCTCAAGGTACCCAACCCAAAAGACATCAGAACAACAAAGGAAGATAGGTGATGTCCCTTTCAAATGTATTTTGACTGGTTTTTGAGAGAGGAGGAGAGAAATTGGTGTTTTTCTGAGGGAATAATTCACTGCTGGGCAATAGAAAAGAGATTTGTGGGCAGAGAAAGATGAGCATATGACATAAGGAAACAAAATGTGTCTGAACATAAGTGGGGTCATGAATTGTTCTGTCAAGCAAAAAGGGGCTGGTATATAATGCAGAAGGGCAAATAACTAGTTAAGCCTTTGAGGGTGGGGTGGTTTTATTCTTTCCTCTCCATGCCCTACCCACAGCAAAGCTGAAATGATGTTGTGCCCACAGCCTTAACTCTCTCCCCTCCAGTCAAGAAGAGGATGAAGATGTGTCCTCCCAGTACTACGTCCCCAGCTACGAGGAGGTGATGAACACGGGCTACTCAGAGCCCAGAGACTCGGACAGGAGCAACAGGCTGAGTGTCTCTCTGCCCTCCTACGAGTCTCTGACGGGGCTGGATGAGAGCAGCCAGGCTCCAGGAGCTGCAGGCACGGAGCCAGGCACGGAGAGACAGCCCAGCCGGCACAGCTCCCGCCTCAGCAAGCGCCTGAAGCCACTGAAGGTCCGGAGGATCAAGTCAGAGAAGCTGCACCTGAAGGACATCAGGCTAAACCTGGACCAGGGGAACAGCACTGTCCCTATCACGATAGAGCCCCTCACCCCTCCGCCCAAGTACGAGGAGATCCAGGACAAAGCGCCGGTGAGCCAGCAAATGCCTTAAAAGAAAAAAAAAAAAGGAGGGATCTGTGATGCTGCTGGGTTGAGGGTTTTTATAAACCCACCAGGCCAAGAGGGGCTTGGTCTGTGGGTGCAGAAGCAGCCAGGGCTCCCTGGAAGCTGCCATGTGGAGGATGTGATGGGTGTGGTAGCACTGCAGCACAAGGATGGGACACTTTTTCCCTGGGACTGGGTTTTACAAAAGACTGTGGGGAAAGAAGCCTGAATGCCACAGGTTCTGCTGCTCTGAAGTAAATGAAGGCTGGATGTACCAAAAGTGTCACTTACTGTGTTTGATACAAGACCACCCAATGCATCCTCTCACCTCCTCTGCCTCTCACCTCCAGCAAGACTTTTCCAAGCCACCAAACTGACACTGAAGAAGGATTTTTCCGAGTGGAAAAGCGAAATGTTCCCTTTTTTGGGGTGTCTTTTCTTTCTGAGGAAGGGAAAGCGCGTTGCCAGAGCAGCACCACGGCTTTCCCCCCCTCCCAGCTGGGTTGGGCTGGTGGCCCAGCGCCAGCCCTGACTCCTGCCAAGGTCTCTGCTGGCTGGTGGGAAGCAGCTGAAAGGGGCCCCGTGCTCCTTGGGTAGAGGATGGATTTCCTGCCTCAGTTGCTTTCCCTGTTGTGTTTTGTGCTCCGTTCGAGGCGAGTGGGTAACTCGGGGGGGTTGGGAGCTGCACCAGTGCCAGGGGTGCAGGGTGAAAACACTGCTGAGCATCCTGTGCGGGCAGACTGGGGCTGAATAAATGTTTTGTACGTTGTGTTTGTGTGTGTGTGTGTGTGCACTCGTGGGTGGTTGGTCCTTCCCAAGGTTTATAATCCGCCGGCTGTTGTAAGGCAGATGCTCCATGGGCATCCCAGCTCCATGGGCATCCCAGCTCCATGAGCAT